ATGGTGATTATCTTTAACTTTTTGTCTTTGTTTTTCGTTTTCGGTTTAATTTTTCCTCTTTTTTATATTTTTATTTTTTACCCATCATTACTCCTTGTTTTTGTTTTCTTTCTTTCTGTTTCTTCTCTTTTCTTTTTATCCTTCTTTCTTTTTTATTTGTTTGTTTCTTTTTTTTTTCTTTCATTCATTTCCATATTCATTGATTTACTTCGTCGTTTTTACGTTTAATTTTTTTTAGTTCTTTTCTTCCCTTTTTTTTCACATAATTTTCTTTTTAGCGTAATTTTTATAGAATTTTCATTTTTTTTTATTATTTCATCAAATTCATTGAATTTAAATTCTGCTTTTTTTATCATGATCTTTCATTTTTAATTTGCTCTCTCTAAAACTCTCTTGTCGTTATCTCCCCACATTTACATATTTTTGTATAATTTCTGCGCATGCGTTTTTTTTGTTTTTTTCTAAACCGAAAAGTATAACAGGTTTGATTTATGCACACACGCACAAATACATTGAAGTGAATATAAAAAAATGTCATCTCACACTTCTTATTTGAGGGTTAAAAAAATTTTAAATGTTAAAATCATGCAATAAAGAAAAGACAGATGAGTATGATATGTTTGCTATGTAAACTCTAATATAAAGTATATTGCTACAGATTTCCCACACTATGTGTGGCTGCTGTGCTTTACGTAGCAAGTCGGATTTTTATAGAATGGAATTGCTAGCCCTCACAACCAGATAGGCAAAATAAGTTCATAGAAAAAGATAAAAAAAATACACGCCAGTTTCGAAAATAGATGAAAAAAGAAAAAAAGAAAAATAAGGCATGTTTAAAGTACGTACATTCATATCGATCTGTCTGTCTATGTTCATATCTATCTAATTATGTTCCTCTCTCTCTCTCTTTATATATATATATATCTTCGTCTGTTCATATCTGTCTATCTGCTTTGTATTGTTAATATCGATCAAATTCTGTTTTCCCTCTCTCTCTCACTTTACCTCTATCTCTATGTCTGTCAGTCTCCGATATTCATATCTATCTATCTATCTATCTATCTATCTATCTATCTATCTATCTATCTATCTATCTGAATTTGTTTATAGCTGTCTATCTATCTCTTATATTCTGTTCACATCTAATTCTGTTTACTCCTTTCTCTCTATTTTTGTTTATAGCTGTCTATCTACCATATTCCGTTCATATCTAATTCTGTTTCCCCCTTTCTCACTCTCTCTCTCTCTCTCTCTCTATCTATCTATCTATCTATCTATCTATCTATCTATCTATCTCTGTTCCCCACTCTCCCTCTCTATCTGTCTTCGTCATTTCATGTTTATGTATCTACCTTTGTTCATATCTAATTTTGTCCGTATCTATCTATCTATCTATCTATCTATCTATCTATCTATCTATCTGACTTGTTTATAGCTGTCTATCTATCTACCATATCCTGTTCATATCTAATTCTGTTTCCCCCTTTCTATCTATCTATCTATCTATCTATCTATCTATCTATCTATCTATCTATCTATCTATCTGTCTGTCTGTCTGTCTGTCTTGGTTTATAGCTATCTACCATATTCTGTCCATATCTTATTCTATTCCCCCCTTTCCATGTATCTATCTCTCCATCTATCTATCTATCTATCTATCTTAATCTGTACATATCTGTTTATCTATCTGACTGAGTATACCCGGTGCATTTAAGGTATCATAAGAATTTACACGCACTTTGTCGATAGAAGTTCGGTTTAAAAGCTGAAACTTAATTAAACTTTTATAAGAACACATAAATAATACACAGAAAAGCATTCTTCTCAACAGATTCCGGTTAAGTTCCATTTAACTTGACATGTTTTACATTTGTTCTGTGCGTAGAATCCATTTCTTCCAATTTTATATTCTCCCAGTGAATTTATTCTTCCTCCCCGGTGACTGTTTCCTCCCATAAATGATTTTCTTGGTATCGTGCAAGAAGGCAAGTTCCTTCTGACTCAGACTCGCAATAGTCAAGGCACCCAGTGAGTATCTATCTCACTACACGAGCAATGATATGAGAGACGAACTAACTAGATTCATTTCACTTAAAAAATGATATTGGAATGCTTGCGTACTATATATAGTTTTAAGGTAAGCAATATTTAGGGTAAACTTGCTCAATATTATCGGTAGAGCGTATGTAAATATAAAAGTGGGCACTGAGGTTAACACCAAATACATACATAAGTATAAGGTATATTTAAGAAGCAAGTATTTACTCCAAACAAGTTTGATCAAAAAGAAACCGATAAAGTCTGTCTGTTTAAGTTTTTATTGTACTTTTCCAGTTTTCCAATAGGGTATTGTGCTCGAAATTGTGGATAAACTGACTGACGTTCAAATTTTGTTGTCGTTTTATTCAAAAACTTTCGCTTGTCACAGTCATAGAGACAATTTCAAACTTCCAGCTTCCCAAAGAATAAGAGGATATAGACAAAGGAATTCTACCAAAAGCAGACACCACATTGGTTCTTGAAAATGACATCGACGGTTGAAAGTATTTGAAAAAACGACGAACACGAAAACATATATATATACATAATCATATATATATATATATATATATATATATATATATATAGATAGATAGATATACATATTCATATATATATATATATATTTTTATATATATATATATATATATATATATATATATATATACACACACAAACTGGAGAAACACCTACCACCGAGGTATAAGAATCCGCTCAACTATCTGAGAAAATTAGGAACCAACACTAAATCTTGGGACAATATATCAGCCCATATGACAGTCAACCCTTCAGCATGTCCTTCATGGGGACTTGTTTGCAAATCCCGTGCAGGACTGGTGTCACATACGAAACATAAGCATAAGAACTGAACTGAAAGACACTCATACGTCAAAAACGACAGAAGAGTCCATCATATATATATATATATATATATATATATATATATATATATATATATATATATATATATATATATATATATATATATATATATATATATATATATATATATATATATATATATATGTGTGTGTGTGTGTGTGTGTGTGTGTGTGTGCGTGCGCGCGCGCGCACCTCGGCGTGGTGTAATGGTTAGCAAGCTTGTCTTGCTAGATCAGTTACTACTGAAAAGTGAGTTCGATTCGCACTAGATGCTCCATACTTTCGGCCTTGTGCCACATCTAAACCGGGCTTAGAAAATCACTATATGTGTGTGCGGATATAAACATGATCATATACATATATTTTATAAATATTTACACTCATTTTACATATATTTTACTCACATGCATGCATATATTATTGAAAGTGTATCTAATAAGATACCCATTATTTTGTGTAAGATATATTCATCCGTACATATATATATATATATATATATATATATATATATATATATATATATATATATATATATATTATAAATTTATTTAAAAAATATGATTCCAAATCTTACATAAGAGGTCTCATGTTTCAAAACAAAAATTCCAAAAAAATTCAATATAATCCTTGAAGATTACATTGAGTTGAAATTAAAAAAGGCTCCGTTCCATCTTAAAGGATTATTACAAAATTTTCGGCTCTGTTTTGAAACATGAGACCTCTTATGTAGCGATTTGAATCATATTTTAAATAAATAATTATATTTATGCTCTACTTTTGTATCGAGCACTATTTTTTAAAAATGATAACAAAAATACTAAAGAACTTTGGACTATTCACCTAACCAGTTCCTTCCTATTTTCTATATATTTTCACATATATATATATATATATATATATATATATATATATATATATATACGTGTATATATATTTGTGTATGTGTGTAACAGTGTGTAATATTTTAAGTATAGATTTTGGCCCATGTCACATAAATAAATAGATAGATCGTATTTCAGAGTGTAATTGTACATATTTCAGATATCATTGGAAGACAGATTTCATGAAGAATGTTTTTAGAATTTACTCTTGTTGGACAGAGAAGACATTTTATTTTATTGCGTAGAATTATATTAAAACGTTTTTGCTACCTTAGAAAAACTAAAAAATATAATCATTTAAAATGAATACATACATATATATATATATATATATATATAGAGAGAGAGAGAGAGAGAGATGTAGAGAGAGTGGGGGAGAGAGTATGTGAAAGAGTGAGAGAGATGCTGAGATCTATGTATGTGTGATGTAGAAAGGTTTAGGGAAATAATCGACTTTGAGCAGACATGTTGGATGGTTAGACAGAGACAACTCACATCCACATCATACCCGAAAAGCAATAAGATTCTGCCTTTTGAATTTCGATTCTATTAGCATTTTCGTCGTTGTCATTGATTGCACTTAAAGACGTGTTTCCACGACGAAGCTGAATAAGCTAAAAGGAAGAAACGGCGTGCAGCATTAATGAAGAATAGGCGTACGGCCAAGAAAAAAGCACAAAAGCAGGGGGCGGGTGAAATAAACAAATAAGAGAAGTAGAAATGCCTCACCAAAATAAATAATTGAATTAAGAGTAGCAAAAAAAAAAAAATCGTAATAAACGAAAGAAGAGAGTTTGTGCCAACGGTGCTTTTCATTTCGCCCATTGCAAATTAATATGCGAATCACTTTTGTTTGAAGCCTTTGGCTCTTGAGCAAAAAAAAAAAACATAGTGGTTACCTCCCTTAATCCTACTCTTTCGAGCAGAGTTAAAAGCTTGAATTTAAAAGAAAGTTAATCTTATCGGTCGGCTTTCTTGGGTGACTTATTTACTTAGTCTCGGCGCCAGAGATTGTTGTTTGAACATGATAAAAGTCAAGATTCTGAATGCTGACTTCTCAGCGGGCGGGCAAGTTCTCAAATTCCACTCGGAAGGCTAATGTAAAACAATCTTTCTTTCATTTGATGTTTGTGCAAAGGTAACCTTAGTAAATATTGATAAATCGATCTTTTATGTTTTCTATGGTAGCTTACAAAATTGACGCAATAAGATCTCATTCAGCATTTCCTTCAAATTCGAGCTCATGTCAACTAGTAAATATCCCCCAAAAGATCCTTTTAAAATAAATAAAATGAATTGTCAAAAACAAAAGCCTCCCCCCACTTAAAATATTAATGCTAATGAGTTTGATTATATCTGTCTATATCTGAGATTAGGTATTATGATTATTTACATTATTCAGCAGGTATCCTCATCTTCTTTGCCATATTCGCAACGTTTCAGCTTTCTTGCGGTTAAAAAATCTAGAAAAATCTACCCCGGTGGACGAAATAAAGAGTTAGGTTCGATATTCCAATCACATGAAAATTTCTGGAGCGTACAACAGTCGAAACGCAGTGAATATGGCAATGAGGATGAGGATAACAGTCCGAATTGTAATGAAAACAGGACAAGAGATTCTGTCTAGTAATCGTTTATTCAATTAAGAATGCTACTACTAGTCTACCTGACAAACGGAAATGTATAGCTTTTATAGTTGGATTATCAAGGGGGAGATAATCCATATTCACAACACGAATAATGTAAATAACATTAATTTGATTATGTTGATCATTTAATGAAAAATATATGTTTTTCTTATAATTTATTTGTGTACATTTTTCTTCCCTTTCCCGTATATTCGTTTGTCATTCTTTGTACTAATAAAACCCAAACTAACGATCAATGGCTAAAGATCCATCCATCCATCCATCTTATATATATATATATATATATATATATATATATATATATATACACATAAAGAAATATAGTTTTAAGGTGTGCTATATTTATGGGATAAAGTGCTCAATATCAGAGACAGAGCTTGTGTAAATATAAATATAAAAGTGAACATTGAAGTCAACACTCAGGCGACAGGCTGTTTCATGCTGGACGCCATCGTCAGGCGGCCTGACGATTGCGTCCAGCATGAAACAGCCAGTTGCCACTGAGTGTTGGCTTCAATGTTCACTATATATATATATATATATATATATATATATATATATATATATATATATTGAAAACGATATATAATTTTTATATGTCAGAAAAATTAATGACTAAATTGGAAAAATATTTTTGTGAGACGCGCTTTGTTCATTAGGGCTTCACTAGGCTAGAGATACATGGGCATGAAAGAGAGGGAACGCCGAAATTTTAAATTCAAATTAAATTCTTCTATGTACCGTATCCCTTCTGGACGTTGGAGATCATGTCTGGCCATAATTTTCTCTCCTTTGTAGCTCTTAATAAATTTCCTTTTTTTTTTGTTATCTCTCCTATACCTTATTCCGTTATCCCTTTACTCCATTTCTCTAGGTCAGTTATATATTGGTTTCCTCTGTCCCCCTTACCTCCAATCTTTTCTGTGATTATCAAATTTTCAAAGCCCACTTACCACATTATATGTCCTAGAACTTTCAACTCTCCTTGTTTGATGTTAAGTATAAGTGTCCTTTTTGGTTTCCATTTTCTCTAAAACTTCGACATTGCGCACATGTTCTGTTTATGGTATTCTCAGCATTCTTGTGTAGAACCACATCCGTTGCTTCAGGTTTATTCTTCATCTGTGAGGTGATTGTCCTGTATTCACTGCCATATAGGTTACTTTTCTTAGCTTTTTGAAAGGCATCTTTCGCTATTCTAAATAGGCCTTC